GATCAGCATGGCTGCTGTCTCCGTGACACCTCTCCAGGCAACCCGCTGGGCCTGGCCACCAGCTCTGGTCAAGAGTAGTTGTCCATGCTGGGGGGGAGGGACACCCTAGTCCTCTGAGCGCCAGAGCCCACCCAGAGGAGGCCCAAGAGGGACAGTGGCCAGCCGTGTAAAACAGAGGCTCGGTCACAGCGAGCAGGCCCAGGGGAGGTAGGGTCAGCAGTAGTCCTGGTGCCCTGACGGATCTGGCACTTTCTCTGACCCTAGGGCCTGGCCCAGGAGGAGGTCCCTGGGAATACCTGTTCAATAGACACAGGTGAATTTTCTGGAAGGCAATCTGGTGCCAGTGCCCCGAGTTCAGCTGACCCGGGCCCAGGCAGTGGGTGGGACCTACTTTCCTGTCACTGCAGACCCGTCACCACTACCACAGGTCACCTGGCAGGGTCTTCTGGGGGAGGACGGGCCCTGGGGGAGAGCCCACAGGCTCGCAGCCCCCCAGGCCTATTCACCAGCTGCCTCCCAGGGGCAGAGCTTGGTGGCCAAGACGCCTGCGGCTGGTCCCCACCCTCACCGCTGAGGGACACAGAGACCAGTGCAGTAAAATCAAACCAGTTTTAATACCAATATAGTCCTCTCTCTTAAATACTGCCTGCCCCGGGGCAGCTGGGAGGGGCAGGCTCTTGGCAAAAAAACGAAGGAAAGGGAGTGTGGGAGACATGGAATGGGTCACCCAGGTGTCTCCCCCCCCATTCAGAACCCCCTGCCCCGGGCCCCTGGGGACTGGCTGCCTGGAGGGTGGGGCGGGGAGGGGTGACAGCAGCTTCATCAGGTCCAGTTATTGCAGAGGTGTGGGGTGGGCGCCCCCTGCCCAGGCCCCAAATCCTGGGCCTCCATCCGCCCTTCCGCCAGCTCCGTCAGTAGCTGCTCTGGTGGCCCGTGAGGATGTAGAGGTTGCTGTGCGCGCCTGGGTTGTCCGTGGGGATGCTCTCCAGGATGATGTCCCTGGGGCCGCGCACGAGGACCAGAAGTGAACCCTCAGGAGAGCCTCAGTGGTTACCCTGCACCGCTGCCTGCCGGCATCTGTCACCTACCTGTGGGCACCAAGCACTCGGAAGATCCTGGTCTCATCTGTGATCTCCTGGGTCACCTGAGAGGAAAGGGGGGCGCCCGTCGTGAGGTTCCCCCGTCAGGAGCTGGGGCAGATGAGAAGGGGGCTGCCGGGTCCCTGGTCCCACTCACTTGGTTGGTGTCCAGGCTGCGGCCCTGCATCCCGTGCCTCCAGAAGGCCAGCAGGCTGTCCTGCAGACACACTGCGGGGCCAGGCCACCGTCACCATAAGAGAGGGGGAAAGGGTGGTCCCTGGGGACATGTGCTCCCGACTGGGGGACGCGTGCTCCCGACTGGGGGACGCTCCGGCCCACTCACCCACAGTCTCGATGGGGAAGTCAAAAGTCAGCTCCGGCGCCAGGGTGGCTGTGGACTCGCCCTGCAGATCGACTATCCTCACGCAGCCTGCATAGGGCGTGCATGGGGATGGTGGGGGAGGCCGATCCCTGAGACTCCCCATGTCCACCTCCTGAGCTCCGCTGGCCCCAGCCCCAAGCCCGAGGCACTCACGGTCAAAGCTGACCAGGACGGTGTCCCTGTCCACCTGAATCACCTGCTGGGCAGAGCCTGGGATCCCCTCTGCAGGCAGAGATGGGAGACAACGCCATGGCTAGCCTTGGTCCCCCAGAGGGCACGGGGACAAGCTGCAGCCAGCCCCTGAGGCCTGATCCCGGCTCAGCCTCATGGGGTAGGGGGATAAGGTCCCTGGTCTCCGAAAAATGAGACTGGTCCCCGAGCTCTTCTCTCAGGAGGTTGAGCGGGGGAGGGCTGTGGATCAGAACCAGGTGCCTACCAGTAGCACAGGGAAGCTGTTGCCCATCCTGTGGGCCGGGCCAGAAGTTCAGCCGCTGATGCCTGCCCTTGTCCAGGACCTACCAGGATGGCTGAGCCCCAAGACCATCCCAGGACCAGCAGCCATGCCCAGAATGGGGTCTCTGCCCCGACAGTCCCCACCTCGACCCCTAAGTGGTACAGTGGCCAGGCTCTTTGGCTTTAGGGCGTGTTTTATGGAGGCGCCAGCCTGGGGACCCCTGTCTGTGTGCTTGCTCTCACAGCAGCCTGGCCTGGGCCCCTCATCCCCAAGGTCTCCCTGGGTCTGAGGCTGCGGGGACCTGTCCGAGCAGCTGCTCACCAGGTGGGACGAGGCTGTCGGGCGTCAGGCCGGCCTCCAGGGGCAGGATGTGGAACAGGACTCGGCAGCCGGGCCCCTCGGGGCCCTCGGCGCCCACGCACACCTGCGGCAGCTCCTTCCCGTCCAGCACCAGCGGCTCCAGCATTCCCGCTGGGCTGGGTAGGGGGCTGGAGAAGTTCTGGGGGGTGGCAGAGCACTCAGGGCCCTGCCCCTCAGCCCGACAGTCCCCCCGGCCACGCCCACCCACTGGCCGGGCCCCACCTTGAGCAGCAGGAACTTCTGCAGGGGCTCGTACCACTGCAGCAGGAGCAGGCTGGCAGGCAGGGCGGCCAGCAGGAAGGTGCTGCCAGTGTACGGGTTCCGCACTGCAGGGGAGGCAGGCCATGGGTGCCAGGCAGGCCCCTCTCGCCCCCGCCCTGCCCCCCCCCCCCACAGCCCCGGCTCTTACCCACACGGCACTGCAGGCAGCCTTTGGTGTCAGGGATCTTGGTGGACAGGGCAAAGCGCCTGCAAGGGGCACAACCAGGCATGTCAGGGCACCGGCCGTGGGTACTACTACGGTCCTGGCATCCCAGGAGAGACGGGCCAGGTAACACCACTGGTGGAGGGCAAGGGGTCTGAGGGTGGTCTCGTGGAGGATTCCTGAGGGCCCACCAGCTGTGGGCTCAGCGTGGGCAAATCACGGGGCTTCTCCCTGCCTCTGTCTCCTCATCTGTGACATGGGGTAACTGCAGGGGCCGGTGGGAGAGGCTGTCCTGCCAGGCACATCGAGGGTGCTCAGGAAGTCAACCTGGTGCCACCTGACCAGATGCTCCTCCTAGTGCCCCCCCCCCCCCCAGTCCATGCTGAACCTCTAGGATCTTTGATCAGCCAAATCAGGACAAGAATGGAGGCAGGACTCATGAGCCTGGAGGGGGTACCAGTTGCAAACAGGAATATCCACCCCCACCCCCAACCAGCCAGCTGCAGCCTCAGCTAAGCCACTTGGGGCCAGTAGCTGACTCTCCTTGGTGGCCACGAGAAGCAACAAAGGGCCACACCAGAGGATGACCCTCAAACTCCCAGGGGCCCCTCAGAGCCTACTTCTTCTGGGGAGAGGGCCCCATGCCTGAAGTCCAGGCGTGTCTCCCCGCCCCTTCTCTCTCTGCGCCTCTGCCCCTGAGCCCAGGTCCTCCCCAACCGAGCAGAGCCACATCTGTGGGGTTCCCGCTTCCTGACAGTTGAGGTTCTCTATACCCCATGTTCAGAGTGGACACTAAGCCTGGTTCCCACACTCAAGCCCAGTCCCCTGGGGCTGCCAGTTCCTAGGCCAAGCTCACGAAGGGGGGTGGGGGGAGACTGCGCTCCAGGAGCCCAGCCTGGAGGATACAGGGCCCAGGTCCTGCCTGTTCTCCCAGCCCCTCTCCTTCAAAACGCAGCTGACCCTCGCTCAACATGACACCATGGAACCCCTGCCCTGAACCCTGCCCCACACATTGCTGGTGACAGCAGCGTCCTTCCCACAGCCCAGGCCCAAACCCCTGGTGGCGTCACCCCTGACTCTTCATCCTCCTGCATCCACCAGCTGTCGGTCAGGAAATCCTGTTGGCTCTCCTTTCAAGGCCCCAGCGGCAGCCCCCCCCTCGTCAGGGTCACTGCGGCAGCTCCCTGAGTCCCCCCCAGCCCCGCCTGTTCCCCAGCTGGAGGGAGCAGTCCTGCTGAAGGCTTGCCAGCTCCCATCACTTCCCTGCCCGCTGCCCTGCCGTGGCCCCTAGGGCATCTTGGCAGCACAGCCAAAGGCCACACACCAGCGACAGGGCTCCCTGCCCCCACTGCTTCAGTTCTGGCCCCAGGGTCTTCCTCCAGCAGGCCAGGTGTGCTCCTGCCCGGGGCCTTCTGCACCAGCTGACCCTTCTGACCGCATGTCCTCCCCCAGAGCCCCGCAGAGCTTGCTTCCCCCCCCAGCTCCAAGTCTGTTCAAACAGCACCTTCCCGCAGCACTCAGAGTAAGCCAGGCAGCCCTCCCTGCCAGCTCTGCTCTCCTAGCACCCCCCCTCTGGCGTCCACCAGATTCAGGCTCCTCCTCGGTGTGGCCCAAAGGAACCCTGGTGGCATTACGGGTTACACACGGAGCTGCTGGCCGCAAGGTCAGTGGTTCGAACCCACCAGTCACTCCTCAGGAGAGAGACGCGGCTGCCTGCTCCATTAACCCCCGGGGGGGCAGTTAGTTCTGCCCCGGCCCACAGGCCCGCCGTGAGCGGGCATGCACTCCACAGCAGCGGGCTCCCCTCTCTTTGCCAGTGTGTTGTTGGAAGAGCCCTGGTGGTGCCGTGGGTTAGGCGTGGACTGCTTACCCACAATGTCACGGTTCAAACCCACCAGCCACCCTGCTGGACAAAGACGAGGCTGGCTGCTCACCGAGAGGCTTCCAATCTCGGAAACCCAAAGGGGCCTCTGGCCCCCTAGGGCTGTTCTGAGTCAGAATCCACGTGGCCACGTGGTTTGGTTAGGTGGTTTCCCGTGCTCTCCACCTCCCCTGCCCCTAGAAATTCACAAGCAGGAAGGGACGGGGCTTCTGGGGGTCACGGCTGAGCTGCTCAAGTGCCAGGAGCTCAGGGTCAGACACGAGGGGGCTTCAAAAAGGGCAGGGAATGGATGAAGAGATCATAGCATTTCCCCCCCTACTCTCTGAAGCCCCTCCTAGCTGCGGAATGACCGGCTGGACGGCCACCTGGCGGGTTTGAACCATTGGCCTTGGGGTGATCCCAACACCTCACCCACAGCGCCACTGGCAAGCTGAGCTGCTCCCCTGGAGGGCCCCGATCTCCCCTACCCCCACCCCCTCTCTCCAATCAGGCCTCAAGTCCAGGCAATTCCACTTCATAAATACTGCCCCAGTGTCCAGTGCCCACTGCCCACCTGGGCTCATCTCGCAGGCCCCCCCCTCCCTCCTCTTGGATCGGGCTACTGGGCTCCTGCTCCCCTCCCCAGGCCCCTGGCCCAGCCTGGCCACCAGACCTGCTCAGGAGTGAGGGTGCATGAGGGGGAGCAGAGCTAACCCTCCTCCTGGACGGCCAGCCCAGGGACTCGTCCCTTGGCCAGACACCCTGGAGCTCCCCACCTGCCCAGGGGGGCTTCACCCCTGCACACGTTTGCACACACTCACCCCTCTGCCTGGAACGCGGCTCCCTAATTCCAGCGCTTTCTGGACTTTCAAGTGCCACGAACTTGCCCACCTCCCTTGACCGGAGAGGGCTCCAGGGACGACAGAACCACCCCTACAGGCCATCCTGAGACCTAGGAGCTCCAGTGGCTGGTTTAGGTGGCCTTTCTCCCTAGTGTCCATCTGGAAGCTCCGCTAAGAACAGTTCAGCCTCATCGCCCCGCACACGCATCCGCTGGTAAGGCAGGCCAACCACCCTTCACGTCCTGTCTCGCACCGAGTAGAGATCCAACCAGGGCCCCCCATGGGGCGAGAATTCTGCTGACCTACCATCGTGTCTGTCTGTCTGGGGCCCGTGTGCTCTCCCCCAAAAGCAGGGACGCGTTTGGTTCGCTACGTGCCCACACCCAGCGGAAGGCTGGGGACGTAATAGGAAGTGTTTGCGCCACGGTCCAATGAAGTCCCTCGCTCTGTGAAGCGCGCTCGCCACTTAAGGGTCTTCTCTAGTTTTGGGGGTCCTCTCCAGTGTGCAGAGCATTTCCATACCCCTTATTCCCTTTGTGCCCCCCACCCCCGACCAGCCTGGGGGGAGGGGGAGGAAGCACTGCCAGATGAGGAAGCTGAGGCTCAGAGGGGTGAGGTCCTGAGAGTCCCAGGGGCAGGCGAGGCCCCAGTGTCCCCACCCAGGGCCTCACCTGGGGATGATCCGCTGGGTGAGGCGGTTGGTGGGGATGGAGAGGGGAACCTGCCGCTGCAGACGCCGCTGCTCAAACAGGCCCGGGAGGTCGTGGGCCCAGATGTGAGTGGATTTCCCTGTGGGGGAAACAGGGCCGGCTGGTGGGGGGAGGGGGGGGCGCTTGGGGCCCCGGGTGCTTGGGCCCCGCCCCCACGGCGTATACCTGACAGCGAGAGCAGCACGTTGTTGACGCAGTAGAGCCAGGTGCAGCGGGGCGCGATCAGCTGCGGGGCAAAGGAGTGGCATCAGGGTCAGCGCCAGCCTGAGCTGCCTGCCCGCCCGGCTGCCCGGACTCACCTTCTCCAGGGTGTCCTCATGCAACTCATGCAGGTTGAGCGTGTAGATGCCTTCCTCTGCCCCCACCACCAGGAACTGGTCTGCAGGGGAGGCCAGGCCCAGAGTCAGCCCGGCCCCGGCCCCCCAGCAGTCGAGCCCCAGGCTCCCGCCTCCTGCCGGCTCCTCTGAGCCTAGCCTACCCCGGGTGATGGGGTGAATCCAGGTGACAGCAGCATGGATCCGCAGGGGGCAGCCATTGAAGACCTTGGAGAAGCAGGCGCCCATCTGTGGGGGGAAGCAGAGCTGATGTGTGTGGGGGGGGGCAGGGAGCCAAGGGGGAAGACTGGGGCTGCAGGGTAAGTACTTACGTGCACCTTGGGGGTTGGGGGGAGCCCGTGGCAGGAGGGTCTCTAGGAAGGAGGGAGAAGGCAGGCGGGGTAGTGTCAGGGCCAAGGCAACGCCCCAGCCTCCAGCTCCCAGAGCACCTCTTACCTCAGGATCCACCCGGTGCTTCATGGTAGCCCAGGTGGTGGGAAGCAGCGGGGGACTGTCAGGGTCAGGTGGAGGTAGGGGCAGGGTCCCTGCAGGCACAGACCCTCCGTGATGTCCAGCCCAAGCCCACCCAGCCCAGTCCCCCAGCCCCCAACCTGGGGCCCACCTGGAGGACCAGCACGAGAGTCCTCAGCTGGAGACTCGAGGTGAGGTGGCCCCAAGCACGGGGCACGCTTAATGGTTCCCATGGCTTCGTCTGGAGAATCCGGCATCTGTAGGAGGGTCAGGTGGGCCAGGCTGTCAGTAGGGAGGACCCCCGGTGGCACGCCCCACAGCACCCAGCGGGGCCTCCCCCAACCCCAATACCTGGACTTCCACAGCTGGCCGGATGGTCAGGCTCCTGTGCGGGACAAACCAAAGAGAAGTGGGTTGGGAAGTGTGATGGGGCTGTGCCAGGCTGCCCCTCCGCAGCGGCCCAGGTCCTCACCTCTCTTCCAGGGCTTCCTGGACAGACTGCAGTAGGCTCCTGGTGGTGGTGGGGAGGTAGGGAGTAGGGGGTAGGCACAGAGGTCAGAGGTCAGCTTTCTTCGATGCCCCCCACTGCCTCCCTCCTTCCCTCACTCACCCACTCAGCTCCTCCTTTCCCAGCAGCGTCCACTCCTCCTCCCACTGTGGGGAAACCGAGGCAGAGTGTGGGAGGGTGGTATGAGAGATAACGGAGAGGATGTGGGGGAGAGACAGACGGGCAGACAGGTGCAAAGGGGAATGACAGTGAGAGACAGGCACCCCGAGATATGAGAAGGGGGTGACAGAGGCAGCAAGGGGCAGAGACTACCTAAGTGACTGTGGGGAGACAGAGAGCCACTGGGAAGGAGAGACGAGAGATGTGGGGTGAGGATGCAGAGAGAGATGGATGATGGGGGGCCTCCAGCGGGGCGAGAGGCCCCCCTTTCACAACGGTGCAGGAAGTCACCCTGCCACTCCCAGCTGACGATCCAAGGAGTCCCGCTCCCCGGGTCCTGGTGGAACAGGCCAGCTCGGGCAGCTCCCTTACCCTTCCAGACCCCCGCTCACCTTCATTCAGTCCTACCCTGACACCCCCCTGCCCCACCAGCCCCTCACCGGCTCGTTCAGTGGGTCCGTTTCCTTCCTGCGGGGGGCGCCAAACTTCACCTGGTGAACTGGTGGACAGAGGCGTCAAAGGGCGGGACCTCCTGGCTGGCCCCTCCACGACACCCGCACCCCCAGGCTCACACTGTATCTCTGAGGGGGTCCTCTCGGCCGGGCCGTGCTGCCCACGGGAGTGGATGGTATCAGGAAACAGGTCGTACGTCTAGGGAAAAGGGAAAAGGGTGGTGGCGTCCCCGGCCAGTGACTTCCACCAATCGAGGCTCCAGGCCTGCAGACAGGAAGCCAGGGTGCCCCTCTCGGTCACAGGTGGGAAAGCGGGCCCAGAGAGGTCAAGGAACTTGCCGGAGAGCACACAGGAAACAAGAAGATGGGGCGGCTGGTGTCACAGGCAGCCTGAGCCCAAGGGGAAGGACTTGGCAGGAAGTAACCAGCGCAGGCAAGACCCACCCCTGCTCCGAAGGTCCTCACGGCCCGGGCACCACCGTCTGGAGCAGTGGTTCTCAGCCTTCCTCATGCCGCGACCCTTTCACACCGCTGCTCATGCAGCGGTGACCCCCAACCATAAGATTTGTTGCTGCTTCACCACTGTCACTTTGCTACTGTTAGGAATCGGGTGACCCCTGTGAAAGGGTTGGTCAACCCCCCAAAGGGGTCACGACGCACAGGTCTAGAGGAAGGGTCCCTGGCTGGCTCAGACTAGCTGAGGGCACCTTCACCCCCACCGCCTCCTTCCAACCAGGCCAGGCCAAGCCCCGCCCCCAGCTGCTCCCACTGACCTCCAGGTCGCAGTCTTCCGGGGAGGGTGCGCTCAGGTGGGGGTCAGTGGCCTTGTCCAGCAGCTGGGTGAGGAGAGCCCGGGGGAGCTGCTGGGTTGTGAAGGGGTGCTGGAAGGGTGGGGGGGCCGGTCAGGTCAGCTGCTGGCCACTTGGGGCCCCACTTCCAGGCAGAACCCCACCCCCAGGCCCCCACCTGCAGGAGCTTCTCTGCAGTTGGCCTCTTCTTAGGGTTCTTGGTCAGTGCCAGCTTGAGGAAGTGGTGGAAATTCTGGGTCCTGGTGGACACAGAGCCCCAACCCCAGAGCCAGCTGAGGGCCCGGCCACCGGCAGAAGCCGGTGGGGCTGCCCGGGGGCGGGAAGGAGCCAGCCTGAGGCCAAGGGCCTCTGCCGCCTGCACCGCAAGATGTGTTGCGACACTGCAGCCCCTCTGTCATCACCCAGCTCTCGGGGTGCACCCTGGGAGTTAACAGAGTGCCCCACCTCCCCGGGGACCCAACTGACAAGGGAGTCCCAGGAGGGAGTGGGGGTGCTCACCAGCGAGTTTTGTCCCTCAACTTGGGGGGCTGGAAGTTGCTCTTGGACATGAGCATCAGGGCCCTGTGGAGGGCGGGAGGTCAGAGGTCAAGGGTCACCAGCAGGGTCAGGGTCAGGCAAGGCACTGGTGCCGGGCTGACCTCATGGGGTGCAGGTGGAACAGCGGGGGCTGCAGCTCGCCCAGCTCCATGGCAGTGATGCCCAAGGCCCAGACGTCACACAGTTCGTTGTAGCCACCTTTGCGCTCTACAGCCGCCACCTCGGGGGCCATCCTAGGGGCAGAGTGGCAGATGGGATCACCGGGAAAAGCACCCCTTGGTCCCCACCCCTGTCCGAGGCACAGCCTCACCAGTACGGAGTCCCGATGAAAGACCGTCTCTTAGCCACCGACGCCGTCAGCTCCCCAGAGACCCCAAAGTCAGCTGCGGGGACAAGCATGGACTGTCACTGCTCTCTGCCGCCACTGCAGGATCAGGACGCGTTTGGCAGGGCTCAGAGGGCAGGCCACCCAGGTCCAGCCACAGCCAACGCCACAGCTCCAATGCCACACCAGGTCCCTCCTGGGAGGGGCTGACCTCACCACCCTGAGCCTGCGCCTGGCCCTGCACCGCCTCTGTATAGACCCTGACTCTCCCGACCTACAGCAGAGAGAGGACACCACCGGGCTCTAAGTGGGGAAACTGAGGCACAAGGCGGGAAAGCGGCTCGCCCAAGGGAACGAGGGGTGGATTTGGGGACCAAAGGTTTCAGGACACCACCCTCCCCACCAGAACCCTCACCCTGGTCTTGTGCCCAGAGTACTGACCCAGCTTGACATCGCCCTGGAGGGTGAGGAGGAGATTAGCTCCCTGTGGGGAACAGAGAAGAGAGGATCCATGGGGACCAACCGGCCCAGTGGAGGGAGCCTTCTCCCGCCCAAGAGGCCCTGGGCCAGGTCCTACCTTGATGTCTCTGTGAATCTTCCCCTGAGAATGCAAGTGGTGTAACCCCTGTGGATAAGGAGGTGTCCCTGAGAGCCGCCCAGCCTGGGCCACCCCACCTGTCCTACACCACCTCTTTTTAGGGCCCCCCCCACCCAAGCCGCTTCCTCCCCCCCTCTCCCCAAACAGGAAGTGACTGAGCCAAGAGGGAAATGTGCTGCTTCCTGCAACAGGGCAGGGGCCCCTGTCCCCCAGGACCCACAGCCCCTGTGGGGCCTGCCCTGCCTAGAGCATGCCCCCACCCCTTCACCCCCCCTCCACTCTGTCCCAGCCAGCTGGGCTCCTGCCCTGCAGCCCCTGGGAGCTGGTGTGGCTACCTTCAATGCCTCCCGGCAGACATAGGCAATCTGCTTTTCCTCCAGGGGCCCTGTGGCTGTAATGGAAAGGGCGGGGGCTGGCAAGGAGGCTGGGGGTCACACCGATGCTGACCCACCCAGACCTCCACCTATGTGAAAGATACGAATGTGGGCCACATCTCCTCCCTGAAAGCCAAGGGCTCAGAGGCCAGAAAAGGACGGCAGCTCTCTCAAGGTCACACAGCCAGTCAAGCGAGAACCAGGAGCCCAAGTTCAGGCCCCTGGCTGGGCCTGGGGGGTGGAGGCGGGGAAGGCTGTGGCCCCTGGCCTCACCGTGGTAAATCTCCTGCAGGGACCCCCCTCCGCAGAACTCCATGCAGATCCACAAGCGGTCATTTCTGGGGGGGAGGGGGACACAGAGCTGGGGTGTGCACAAGGCGGGGTCGCACGGAGGCGGCGTGGGGATCGGAGGAGGGAGCGGCCGCACCTGAGGTAGCTGCCGATGTAGGCCACCACGTTGGGGTGGCGGCACTCCCGCAGAATGGTGATTTCCTGCTGCAGGGAGCTGATGTCGTCCCCTGGGGAGCACAGGGCATCATGGGATGGGGGCGGCCAGCAGGGGCCCTGACCCAGTGCCCGCATCTGCGAAATGGGCAGAGCGCCTGCATCCAGGCTGGACAGGTGCCAGGCGACAGCACTGGCCGGGGGTCCCCTCCCCCTCCTCCGTGCCCCCGCAGAGGCCCTGCCACCCGGCCCCCGCCCTCACCTGGGTCTAGCTTAACTATCTTCACGGCGGCCAGTTCGGAGGTGGCGGTGTCGCGGGCCT